TGTGCTCTTCCGATCTCCCCAAAACCCCAAAACCCCGTGAGGAATAAATAAATGGTCTTATAAAATGAAAAAATAAAAAAGTTATAGTATAAATAATGAAGATATCATAACCAAAGGAAAAGTTTCTCAGGAATGCAAATTCTATTGAATTCCCTTCTTACATGATTAGCAATCCAAACTTCTTCATCAGAACTCAAGATAATCGATTTCAAAAGGTTAAGGAATAGGTTAGGAATTCTTAAAACTTTAGAATGAGTAAATAAAAAGAAGATGGCAAAAAATAATTTGTAGTGGAGAAGAATTTAATGAGCTAAGATTACCCATTACAAAACTACACTTAATAGTAGCCAGAGTTCAAAGCTTATCAGATAGCGAAGATCCAAAGAACCCCAAAGAATATTTAGATTCATTCTATCGCTGATGATCATATCACTAATAAATATGTGCACAGTCCTTAAAATCATAGAAGCATTATAGGATGGAACAGAACTTTCAAAAATGGAGAATTAACAAAATTTCTTAACTCATCCAAAGAGGTTCTTGAATAAAGAAAAGTAAGCCTTCTATTTCTATAGGATGAAAAAAGTCCAATTACTAAAATAAAGAAATAACTCAAAGAGTCCTAAAGCCAGAATAATTTCTTAATTACTAAAACTACAGGCTTTAATAACACGGCAAAAGGATTAAATCCTACATTGGTTGTGGAGTAGTTCATAGATACTGATATCTAGCCCACTAAATAAAGTAGGGCACTTCATAGCCCAAGTCCGAGTCGAACATCTAAATATAAAATCCAAACAGAGGATATCAATTACTAGGGTATTTAAAATGATTAAAACATGAAATTGTATTCCCCAAAAGTAGTCTCTAATCATAGGTTGCTTAATGATAATTAGCAAATTTAAAAGGACAAAATTATTCATTAAAGCATTAATGGATCACCATTATCTAATAGAAATAATCCATTAACTCAAACTAAATCATTCTAACAATTGAGTGTAACAAATGGGTTCAAATCACTTCAAGGAGGATAACCCATTTTAATGAGTACTGCACTAAGGGAAAGTAGCTAAAGTTAGATTGGATAGCAGGTAAAAAGGTAATAATAGAAGGAAAATAAAAAGTTTGGTGGTCCATATATAGATCAAGGGATATTTGATTTTTACTCTAATATCAGTTCAAGGAGACATAGCAATGCTCATGACATACAAGATAAAATTGAGCATATGAGAATAGCCATGAGGAGGTAATCAAATAGCTAGAGGGCGCTGCCTGAGTAAGAAACAACCTAAAATATACCTGTTACTGTAAGAACTTTTAATGATAAAGAATTTCAGCCTGTTGTCACTACTGCTACTAATTTCGCAAGAAATACCTTTACTAATGGAATTAAATTAATTGATGATAACAACACATGCTCACCAATTTTTGTAAACCCTGCTATTAGAGACAAATTTTATTAAAAACAAATGAATACATTTACTAATCAAAAGTTAAACAGAGGCATTAAAAGATATGTTGAATGAGTCATAGTTTTTAATTAGTGTTTGACCAATCATTTTGAATTAATTTATTTCTAAACCAACCTTTAATTTATTTAATAGTAGTATTTAAAAGTTATCAAGTTAGTGATATAATACATTAACTTATATTTAAATGACTGATTTCTCATCGTTCAATGTATAAAATTGTGTAAATTTGCACTAAAGCAGACAAATTTATCAGTCACCAATCAAATTCTAGTACCCTTCTCCCTTCTAATGGAAGTTCAACTCAGAGAATAGCTCCGTTAATAAATCCTTCGGCCTCTCAATTGCCGAAATTCAGATGATGAATAGTCCCAGAACAGATAGACTCGAAAAATGCCTCGAGAGGATCGAAGAATATAAAAATGAGGGACGACTCAATGATGTCTTAATCACAATTGAGTAAGAAATTTAAAAAAGCTTGTTCTTAACCTCCCTGTAGGCAAGGGCTTTAAATATTGAAAAATGATCCCTATCACGATCACGAAATGAACTAGAGGTTTTTCATTAGATTTTAAGTGAGACTTGCACAAACACAACTTGAACTTAACATGCTTGCTGAGTCTTATCAAATATGTGATTAAGGAGTTTAAGCGCTAACTCAGAGTGATAATTAAGTAGCTGCCAACAGAAATCATATTCAGGAATTTCTCATTGTAAAAGCTAGTCTAATGCTTATTCATGGGGACTTCAATTAAGTGAATTAGATCATAAATGAGATTGAGTCTCTTGGAGACATTTGTGATGATCATATTAATCTTAAATTGGCGATGATAAAGTACGAATTACTCTTGGCGCAGAATGACATTGAGTAGGCAATAAACGTATATATTCTTCATAGTTTTTTTAACAGTCATTTATAGTACTTGATCTAAAGTATCAACACCTTCGTGAATGTCCAGCTTAGTTTGGTTGAGCGAGCCTTTTTGAAGTTGCTCGAACTCCATCTTAACCTAATGAAAGCAGACCACAATTAAAGAGTAAAGGCAGCCTAGCTAAACTATGAGTTGTTTAAAATCTCAAGGGAGATGAAAGACGTGCACAAAAGCATGAACTATATCAACTAGGCTGTTGAACTAGACCCCCAAGACTGGACATATCAATTTGAATTGGCTCTTTTTATCAAGTAGGTAAGTTTTTATCAGAAATCTAATTTTTAATCAAATTTAGGCACTGAAACTCAGATAAGATGCATCTGTAATTATGAAGAAAGTATTAGACTTAAACCCTGCTAATTCAAAGGTGTGGTTTGAGGCTGCATGTCTTGCAGAGGAAATGACAGAATATGAATAAGCGAGGGAATATCTAGATAAAGCTGTGAGTATTGACCCATATAATGTCGAGATTCACAACAAAATTTCACAGATATAATACTCTCTCAAAAGATATCCAGAGGCTATCTAGAGCCTAGAGAATGCTATATAAATTTATCATCAGGATTAAACTTAATGCCAACATAATTTGTCTATTTTACTGGGGAATCTAGGCATGATATATTCAAATCTTAATGAAAATGAAAAAGCTTACACTTTGCTCTAATAATCAATATAATGCAATAACGATAATCTACATAACTGGCTATAACTCGCAGTTCTAGAGATGAAGCTTGGAAAATACGACAACAGCATGAATATATGTGAAAGAGTTCTATCATTTGACCACACTAATGAAAAAGCTTTTGAGCTTAAAGGTGATTTATTTAAATGCATTGGCTAATTTGATTAAGCCTTTTTATTCTATAGCAAGGCTATTGAAGTTAACCCAGAGAGTCACTCAGCTAATAGCTCAATCGCTGATCTATATAGAAATTAAGGCAAACTAAAAGAAGCAATAGATTATTATAAAAAAGCCTTATCAGTAAAACTTGATCTAACTGCAACATTTGCGGCAATGTGCAATGCCAAGTAATTTTGCTGTGATTGGGATTAGGCAGATGACTGCTTCTAACATCTATATAATCTAGTTTCAAAGTAAATGGAAGCAGGGGAATTGCCTTGTGTCGATCCATTTTCTCTCTTTATGTATAACTTTACCCCTGAGCAAAAGTACCTAGTCACTAAAAGATATGCTGATCATATTAAGACTACTACTATGAAAAACTTGCATGCCTAAGGAGTTACTTTTCATGGATTTTAACACTAGAAGGTCAATCCAGATCACTAAATTTTCAAGATTAGACTTGGGTATGTTAGTTGGGACTTCGCTGATCACCCACTAGCATAGCTTATGCAATCAATATTTGCAATGCATGATCGATCTAGATTTCATGTAGTAGCTTTTAGTTTAAGAAAAAATGATGGGAGTGAGTGGAGATAAAGAATTGAAAGTGGCTGTGATGAGTTTTATGAAATACCTGATGGTATGAGTACAGTAGATCTGTCCAACTTTATATATGGAAAGAGCATTCACATTTTATTCAACTTAAATGGATGGACATAAGGTCATAGGTCTGATGTATTCGTCCTTAGGCCTGCTCCAATCCAGATCTCATATATGGGCTTTTGTGGCTCAATGGGAGCTGATTATATTGATTATATAATTACAGATGAGATAGCCACTCCTCCAGAGTGTCTTAAGAGATTTTATGCTGAAAAAGCAATTTACATGCCTCATTCCTATTTCGTAAATGATTACATGCAAAGCTCTCCTTATACTATTGATCCTAATTTCTCAAGATCTTGCAGAAGATAATTTGGTCTTCCTGAAGATAAGTTTATATTTGCAAACTTCAATTAGCTGTACAAGCTCGACTAGAATACATACACAGTATGGATGAACATTTTAAAAAGAGTTCCTAACTCAGTATTGTGGGTGCTTGAATACCCTGCAGATGCTAAGGAAAATCTTCTTAAAGAGGCAGAAAATAGAGGAGTAAATTCTAATCGAATCATTATGACAACGAAGGTGCCTAAACACTAGCACATTGAAAGATGTCATTTAGCAGATTTATCACTAGACAATCCCATTACAAATGGACACACCACTACATGTGATTTGTTATGGAGTGGACTTCCAGTTATCACTTATCCCATATCTGAAAATATGCCCAGTAGAGTTGCAGCAAGCATTTGCTATGCTTTAGAGTGTCCTGAAATGGTTGTCCATTCCTACCAAGAGTATGAGGAATTATCAGTAAAACTAGCAACATCTGATTTTCAAAAACCCAAACCTTCAGATAATATTCCACTTCACCTTCATAATAAACTTGGTTCACTAAGACTAAAGTAACTCAGAGCTAAAATTGAAAGAAATCGTCAAACAACTCCGCTTTTTAATACTAAATTATGGGTTCAGCACATGGAGGTCGGTCTATTAAAAGCTTGGAGTATGTATAACTCAACTGGTAGCGTAGACAATATAAAGATATCAGAACTGCTTGCTAATATCAAGAACCAGAGTAAAAGTCAGCCCTTGTAGTATTAATGAGCTGTAAATGCTTCCAAAGGAATAAATATTAATGTAATGTAAAGTATTTGTTGTTGAAATCTCACCCCTTGTTAATTAAAAGAGAAACTCCAATGAAACATTAATAAATTCATAATAATTTTAATTGGTTGTAAATTTCGCTAATTTCTTAATTCCTTAATGCATTTTTAGCTGTGATTTTTTACTCAAGGGGTTTTGGGGTTTTGGGGTTTTGGGG